ACTGACATATATTCCGAATATTACTAATATTCAGTATAGCCCTTCTAATTACTTGTCCAGATTCCTTTCACCGTGAGCTGTGTTGTAATGTTCGGCTTATAATTGTGGTCTATAGAACGAATCGAAAAAATACAAAAAAAAAAATATGTTTTCGGTCTACTTCATCCCAAAATTATTATCTGATCATCACCGAAAATTATAGGCGTTGTCCTTGACCACAGCTGGAATCTCATGGAAAATTTCAAGGCGATCAGCGCTATATTTTCGCTTCCTAAATAATATATGAATACGTAAGCACCTGTGAATATTTAAGTATAACTCCCACATCTGAGTACATAGGACAATGGTATCAATTTGGTATCAATTTGAAGGTCAACCACTCCTCTTGGATATACTATCAACTTCTTGGGTCTATGTCCTTCAGGGGCAAATATATACGCCATATAATACAAATTTTGTAACTTTTCACATAAAAGTCAGGGTCCATTTCTTTACGATTTGCACGAAATTTAGCATAGCGTTCTGAGTCTACAATGATGTGTGCTAAGTTTCGTGAAAATCGGTTCAGATTTAGATATAGCTCCCATATATATGTTCGACCGATTTTATGTTATCGGAAAACCAAAGGCCCTATTTACTTTCGATTTGCATGATATAAGCTAATGTGTGTCAAGGTAAACTGAAACCGGTTCAGATTTAGATGTAGGTCCCATATATATTTTCGTCCGATTTTAGGTAAATGGTGCACCAAAGACCCTAAGTTGGGTTGATTGGCACGCAATTTTGTTCGTCGTACAGATGTTAGTGTAGTATTTTGACACACCTTAGGCTAATAAGGTGTGTCAAAATATGTCCGATATGACACGCTAAATATTGACCAATCTTTATCAAAGCAGGGGAGCTTATTCTTCCCCATGTAAAATTTCACGATGTTCGGGCAATAATTACGGCCTCTGGAGCGACCAGAAAAACGAACAAAAAATAAGTATTTGGTCCATTTCATACCCTAAATATTAACCGATCTTTAACAAAAGCAATATGATGGGTTCTGGCCAATTAAGACCCCATTGGCCAGAACCCGTGATACATGCAAAATTTCGTGAAGATTGGTCCATAACTGTGGCCTGTATCGTGTTTACAAATTACAATGGACAGACGGACGGACACATATGTCTAGATCGACTCAGCTAGTCGAGATATGACGATCGGTATACCTAAAGGGGGGTCTAAGACCAATATTTCCCACAAAGCTATAATACCCTGACAACATAGTTATGTAGGGTATAAACACAAATTTAATTAAATCATGTCGACAATTTCGATAATATGTTTATGTCTTCAATAGACACACTGTCGTCATATTCATCTCCAAAACGCCACAACGAAACAAAAGGAAAATGAGAGAAACTGAAAAAAATCATAAACTTTTTTTTGCAGGCAATAAAAATTGACGTCTATTTATTTGTGTGTTGTGTTCGAATCAAAGGCTATAAAGCGAATTGTGAAAAATGCCTAAAAACTTTAACATTTCAATGTCAGCTCTTGTTCGACTTTTTTTTTGACAAAGTTTAGAAAAATATCGCCACGAAACAGAAACAGTCAAATAAAACCATAACAAAAAATTAAGGACCATAAAACGTGCTGGCCATGCTGAGAACATGAGAAGCACATAAAAAGCAAAACAAACAAAACTCAATAATATTTTATGACTTATGACCAATATTTTTGTTGGTGGCTGGATAAATGTACCCAGAATGGCAACAGCAACAACGAATGTTAACATGAATAGTCGAAGGCCATATCGAGAGAGGAAGGATGTTAGCCTAAATAAATGTTTCGCATTCATTAACACTTTGGGTTATATCCATTGCCTGTTTTTTTTTTTTTTTTTTGAAATATGGTTTTGTCCTTTTGTGGTATGTACTAATATGATTCCGAAATAGAAGGAAGGACGAAAAAGGATAAAACCATAAACTATAACATTAAATCATGTATATGGGAAATGGTAGGCGGAATTTTATAAATGTATCTATATTTGAAGGACGTTGAGTATTAGCTACATAACCTCCATCACCAAAGTTAGTTTTAAAAGATATAATTGCTGAGAGTCCATTGTTAGGATATAACATCTGAACTTAGTTTATTACGGTGGAATATTTTGGAAAACGCTAATGACCAAATAAGGTTTAAATGCTGTAATGGGATAATAAATAACAACAAACTATAAAACAAACTATCGTGGACTATAAGTCGGGTATTATCTTTTAGGAAAAAGGATGTTCTCTATAGAGTTAAGTAATTTCGTTCCTGATACAGTTCGATCTTTTGCGGCTCGCTCCACAAAAGGAACTAGGCCTGCCTTTTAGTTCCATAGTTGATTATATTTCAATCGTTCATTGGTACATTCGGTCAATGAACGGTACAATCAAAATGGACGATTGGATCAAAAGGAATTAGGTGAACGGTAGTAAAACTAACTTGATCAGTATGGGTCAGGAATTCAATTTTCTGGCTTGTAGAGCCGATAAAGCGTTATATATGTATACTCTTCACCACACTGTGGTACAGGGTATAATGTCTTTGTGTCGGTTTATGAATGTCCTCCATCTTGCAAACTAAGTCCAGGTCGCATTTATGATCCCATTTGGATGAAATTTGGCACAGCTCACTTTTTTGGCCCAAGGATGAACCCTATTGAAATTGGGAAAAATCGGTTCAGATTTTGACACAGCTCACTTATTGATATAGCTCGCATATATTTGTTCGTCGGTTTTTCTGTAAATGGTGAACAAAAGTTCCTATTTTTCTTAAGATTTGCACGAAATTTAGCATAGCGTTCTGAATTGAGTCTACAATTATGCGTGTAAAATTTCGTGAAAATCGTTCGATTTCCATGATATTTGGCATAGTGTACTGATTTGAGTCTAGAGTAATGTGTGCTAAGATTCGTGAATATCGGTTCAGATTTAGATATAGAGTCCATATATATTCGCGCGATTTTTTTGTAAATAGTGTACCAATGGCCCTATATTTTTTCGATTTGCATGAAATTTAGCATAGCGCACTGAATTGGGTCTGGAATGATGTGCGTTAAGTTTCGTGAAAATCGGTTCGGATTTAGATATAGCTCACATATATATTTTCGACCGATTTGAGGTAAATAGTGCACCAAAGTTCCTATATATCCTTCAATTTGCACAAAATTTGGCATAGCGTACTGATTTGAGTCTAGAGTAATGTGTGCTAAGATTCGGGGAAATCGGTTCAGATTTAGATATAGCTTCCATATCTACCAAAGGCCCTATATTTCTTTCGATTTGCAAGAAATTTGGCATAGCGCACTGAATTGGGTCTGGAATTATGTGCGTTATGTTACGTGAAAATCGTTTCGGATTTATATATATTTTCGTCCGATTTTATGTTAATGGGGAACCAAAGGCCCTATATTTCTTTCGATTTGCTCGAAATTTGGCATATCGTACTGAATTGGGTCTAGAATGATGTGTAGTAAGTTTCGTGAAAATCGGTTCAGATTTAGATATAGCTCCCATATATATTTTCGTCCCATTTTATGTTAATGGGGAACCAAAGGCCCTATATTTCTTTCGATTTGCTCGAAATCTAGCATAGCATACTGAATTGGGTCTAGAATGATGTGCGGTAAGTTTCGTGAAAATCGGTTAAGATTTAGACATAGCTCCTATATATATTTTCGTCCGATTTTTTGCAAATGGTGTACCAAAGGATCAAAGTTAGGCCAATTGACGCGATATTTTGCACAACGTAGTGAAGTTAAAATAGCCTAATGATTGCCAAGTTTTATTAGAATCGATTCTGATTTAGATATAGATTTTAAGTAAATAAAACACCAAAGAGATAAACTTGGGACGATTGGCACAAAATTTTGTACAACCTAGTGAAGTTTGTACAGGCTAATGTGTGTCAAGGTATATTGAAATAGGTGCAGGTTTAGATGTAGTTCCAATATATATTGTCGTCCGATTTTAGGTAAATGTTGCACCAAAGACGCTAAGTTGGGCCGATTGGCACGTAATTTTGTTCGTCGTACAGATGTTGGTATAGTCTAAGGTGTGTCAAAACATGGTCGATAGGAAGAAAACGTACTGAAATTAGTATAAGCTAACCTATGACAAGTTTCGTTGAAATCGGTTCATATTAGGATATAGCTTCTATATATATTTTCGTCCGATGGTGTCAAACTTCTCATGTTTGTCAGATTGATATGACATTTTACACAACGTTCAAAATTGAGCATAGAATGTCTTAATTGAGTTTTGTAGAAGAACAAACATAGCACATATACATTTCTGATCGACTTCGTGTTAATTGCGCACCAATTATTCAACAGGAGTCCAATTGATATTTGCTTTAAATCGATTTACATAATTTTGTAACATTGTGGAATTTTATTGAACATAGTTTTCCGGTCTGATATCTGAGTTTACATCTATTCTTTTTTGTTTTCTATAAAAAAAACCTCTGATCATTAATTGTCTATAGAAAACTCTATGGTATTTTCTTGTTCATATGCGGCCCTGGAGTCTACTGCTTTTGTTTACCCTGAGGTCTATTGATATTGCCCTGAAAACTTCTATTTTCAATGTAAGGCCCTGAGGACTCCTATTTCCTATATAAAATTCTATTTTTAACTTTTTCCTCTAATATTTTATTCTAACCCAACATAGTTCCGCCACCCACTGGTTTGGTCTTTAAAACTTTAATTATTCCGACATATTTCACTAAATATTAAAATTATGACCGAACCCTTTCATTGCTCGCCTTAATACCCATTTGTTTGTGATTACATTAAAGTATGCCGTTGTTGTTGTTATTTTTGCCGCTGCTGGTTTTGTTTTTGTTACTCTTGTTTCTCTCTCCCGGTTGATGTTATTGTTATTGTTGTATGCCACAATGTTTTTGTTTACAATTGGGGCGGAGAAGGCCTGTGGGTGTGTGTCTTTCATAAATATTTAACTTACCTATTTTGTTTGGTCGGTGGCGTGGCATAGGGTACACCCAAAAATACCTCCACCGAACGCAGATATCGATAGTTGTCCAATGGCAATATTAGGCCATGCAATCGTCCGTAACGGGTCTGAACGATGCGATGACCCAATCGGGCATTTTTATAAATATCCAATGTTGAGGCATTGACAAAAGCAGCGGGCGGCAGTGTGACGAGCGTGACGAATATAACCAGTAGTGCAGTTGTGGCGGTGGTGATGGTTATGTGGCGGCTGTTGCTGCCACATCGATGTTGTAGGAATTGTGGCAAGCTGAGAAGATGATGAGGTTGCAGTGAGCCCAACCACCAGCATGGTGACGATGCTGATGAGGATGTGGATGAGTATCCTGATGCCGTAGATGCCGTTGTTATTGATGTGGGAGGCGTTTTACTGCATGGGGCGGGAGTGGAGGTGGGCCTGATTGTTGTAAGTGCCGCCAAGCTATGACAGCTTGTTGAGGCGGCTGCTGTTTTGGCTGTTGGTGTTGCAGTCTCTGTTAAATTTGTTGCTGAAATTATTGATGGCATGTGGTTGGTTGTTCCCGCTGCAGATGCTACGGACAATGTTGGTGGTGATGTTAATGCACCCGCCGATGTGGGCCACGTTGACTCTGATCCGGTCGTTGTCAATGATTTTCTGTAAATTGACAATGTTTTTCGTTTCGATAAAATAGTTGATGCTGTTGTGGTTGTTGTTTTTGCTGATGGTGATGTCAACGTCTGTGTTGCCTCATGGCATTTTTTGCAGGCTCTAATAGTTGTGGTGGTTTTTGTTGTTGTTGTTGTTCCTGACGCTGTTGTTATCGCCGTTGTTTTCGTCGTCGTTGAATTCGACGCCAACGCCCCCATTGTCGTTTGTGTTGTTGTTGCTGTTGGCAGTGATGTTGCCAATGTTGACGAGGATGAGGACGACAACGACGAGGATGCCAATGATGCCTGACTCGTTGTCAAGCAATTGCAGTTATTCAGCCACATAATGTTGATTATTGGCGTTCTGTGTTCGTGTTGTTGTTGTTGTTATTTCTTTTGCAGTGCGTTGTTGTTGCAGTAGTGGTGTATTTATTTTGTGACCCTCTGGGTTTCATTCAGTCTGTCTGTCTGTCTGGATTAGCGGGGTTTCGTTTCTTTTCAATTTATTTCTATTTTATTCTCTTTTCATTTGCTATGTGTGTGTGTGGGTGCATTGATGTACAAAAAACTGCAGGCAATTCCATTCATTTATTGTTACAAATTTATACTAAATTCTTGTAGTTGCTGTTGTTGTTGGCGGTGCTGCTGTTCTTGTCCCACTTGCATTGAGGCAATTGACAAAACAACAACAACAACATTTGTAACAGATTGCTGGCTGTCAAATGCAATTGTTTTCATAGAATCGAATACCAAATTGAGAATTTGTAACCACTAAGTGCTGGGTGTTGGCTTCTGTGGGTATTGAGTTCTGAGCGTTTTACCACGTTTATTTTGTTTTTCTGTGAGGCGACCCACTGATGATGCTGCAGCTGCTGATGGGAAATACGATTCGTATTAAACGAATCTATTGTAGCACTGCTTGTGTTTTTTATTATTGTAATTTCGTTAAAGGTTTATTAAATTTCATTTCATTCGATTTTTTTTGCCTCTGATTTTTTCAAGTGGCTTTCTTTGTTCGTTTCTTTTGTAAGCATTTAATTTTTTTTGGAAACAAACTGCGATAGGGTTTCTCTCTCTGTGTATTGCAGTTATTCAATTGTTTTATTGGTAACTCGCTCTCTCACCCTTTCCTTTTCCCTATTTTCGTTTTGTGTTGTGAATTTTTATTGGTTTTTCATTATTGTTTCAAGTTTTTTACATTGTAGCAGTTTGTTGAAAATCATCAAATCAGATCTGTAAATAAAAGAGGGAAAGTTTTTTGTTGCTGTTAATAAATTGTTATTAAATTGCTTGTAAATAAAATAGAAAAACAATTGCAAAAAAACGAAGGGGAAAATGAAATTTTCCATTTGATTTGCTGGCAAATAATAACCGCGAAAGGTTATTGGGTAATAAATTACAGTTCGGATCGAGGAAAATTCAAAGGGGCTGGTGTTTTTTGTATATATTTCAAATTAAAAATTTATTTTGTTATGATAGAAATTTCTATAGACTTATAATAGAGTGGAGAGTACATCTAGGATGTTGGTCATTAAAAACGGGATATTGAATGCTTTGAGGTAGCCTCCGTATAAAATGTCAGTCCCAAAATTTTTGTAAAATAATAATGTAGGTCCTCGCCTCATTTTCCAACAATACCTTCTCCCAGAGAAATTTTGAAACAACTCGCTGTAGATACCTTCTATATAGTTCTAAATATTCTGAAATTTCTCACATTGCAATATAGATCAATGGTTAAAATACCCGCTAATGGGATTTTTGGAGGGAAAATGTTCAGTAGTTTTCAATCGTTCCACACAAGAATACAAGGTCTTCTTAGTAAGGAACAAGGATATTTTTTTAAATGGTTGGGTAATTTTTTGGTTGGTACAGAGAAAGTCTCCCATAAGAAAACCCGTAAGGAAAGTAGTAAAGTCGGACTGGGCCGACTATATGATACCCTTCACCACTTTGGGTATATTCTACATATGTATCCTAACAGACGACCCGTTTTTGCACACATCGTTCTAATTCAGTACGCTATGCCAAAATTCGTGCAAATGAAAAGATTTCCAGGAACTTTGGTGCACCAATTAGCTAAAATAACTATATTTGGGAGCTATATCTAAATCTACCGATTTTCATGAAACTTAGCGCACATTATTATAGACGCAATTCAGTACGCTGTGCCAAATTTCGTGCAAATCGAAATATATATAGGGACTTTGATGAACCAATTACCTTCAACCGGATGAAAATATATATGGGAGCTATATCTAAATCTGAACCAATTGTCACGAAACTTTGCACACATCATTATAGACTTAATTCAGTACGCTCTGCCAAATTCCGTGCAAATCGAAAGATATATAGGGACTTTGGTACACAATTTAACTTAAATCGGACGAAGATATATATGGGAGCTATGTCTAAATCTGAACCGATTTTCACGAAACTTGGCAGACATCATTCTAGACCTTATTCATTACGATCTGCCAAATTTCGTGCAAATCGAAAGAGATATAGGGACTTTGGTATACAATTTACATTAAATCGGACGAAACTATATATGGGAGCTATATCTAAATCTGAACCGATTGTCACGAAACTTTGCACATATCATTCTAGACTTAATTCAGTACTCTCTGCCAAATTTCGTGCAAATCGAAAGATATATAGGGACTTTGGTACACAATTTACCTTAAATCGGACGAAGATATATATAGGAGCTATATCTAAATCTGAACCGATTTTCACGGAACTTTGCATACGTTCTGCCAAATTTCGTGCAAATCGAAATATGTATAGGGACTTTGGTACACCATTTACCTTAAATCGGACGAAAATATATATGGGAGCTATATCTAAATCTGAACTGATTTTTCCCAATTTCAATAGGGTTCGTCCTTGGGCCAAACAAATGAGTTGTGCCAATTTTCATCCAATTCGGATCATAAATGCGACCTGTACTTTGTTTACAATTTAACACCAACAGACGGACGGACAGACGGACGGACGGACATGCATAAATCGACTCAGAAAGTGATTCTATGCATATTCTCAAAAGGAACCATGGGCCTACCTCTATTATTTTTGCCTGTTATAAACATATGCACAACAAAATAATACCCTGTACCACAGTGTGGTGAAGGGTATAAAAATAAGACGTTGGTCTTCTGTAAAGACCAGGAGGTATTTTTCAAAAGGTACCAAAAGTAGTTCCTTTTCTTTGAATTTGTGGGAATATTCGAAGATTATCACGACTTATTTATAGATGAAAATAAATTCAGACATATAGAAAATGAGGGGACCTTATTTGTGGAAGATCAAGAGGTCTACTATATTGACTATGTGGTATCCTCTATAAAAAATACGAATAAAATTCTCATAAAGACAGCAAATAAGACCATGATGTTACTTTATAGAAAATCAAAAACGTTCTTCATGAAGAACTAGTAGCCCTCTCTATTGGCTACCAGGAGGACTCTTTCATGGAAGATTAAGAGATTCTCTTGTTAGATATCCCTGAGGCTAATAATCATACTTTTTTGAAAGAGAGGAAATCGACTTCATATAACACAACATATTTTTTATAGAAACTAAGACGTTTTTTTATAAAATACCAGACCAGAATAAACCTCCAGAAACCCAAGAGGTCTAATTTATAGAAGAATATGCTAAACCCGGTCTATTTCATAGAAGGCGAAAAGATTCCCTTTTCGGGGCATATCAGGACATCTTGATAGTAGAAGGCTAACAATTTTCTTAGTAGAAGTAGAGGAAGTCAACTTTATAGAAAAACGATCAGGTCTTCATAATAGAACACAAAGATATATATTTTTATACAAGACTACGATGACTTCTTGATAAAATACCAGAAGGACATCTTCGCCGATTAACATACGGTATTTATACCCTTCACCACACTGTGGTACAGGGTATTATGTATTTGTGCATATGTTTGTAATAGGCAAAAGGAATCGAGATAGACCCATGGTTCCTTTTGAGAATATCCATAGAATCACTTTCTGAGTTGATTTATGCATGTCCGTCCGTCCGTCTCTTGATGTTAAATTGTAAACAAAGTACAGGTCGCATTTTGGTACAGCTTATTTATTTGGCCCAAGGACGAACCCTATTGAAATTGGGGAAAATCGGTTCAGATTTAGATATAGCTCCCATATATATTTTCGTCCGATTTATGGTAAATGGTGCACTAAAGTCCCTATATATGTTTCGATTTGCACGAAATTTGGTGTGGCCTACTAAATTAAGTCTAGAATGATGTGTGCAAAGTTTCGTGAAAATTGGTTCAGATTTAGATATAGCTCCCATATATATTTTCGTCCGATTTTAGGTAAATGGTGAACCAAAGTCTCTGAAAAGTATTCGATTTGCACGAAATTTGGTATGGCCTACTGAATTAAGTCTAGGATGATGTGTGAGAAGTTTCGTGAAAATCGGTTCAGATTTAGATATAGCTCCCATATATATTTTCGTCCGGTTTAAGGTAAATTGTGTACCAAAGTCCCTATATATCTTTCGATTTGCACGAAATTTGGGAATTTTG